AACATTGAGGAAGATCTTGTGGCGGTGGGGGCAACGATGTCTCCGGTGTTGGCCCATTCTCAACAACAAAAACGGTGGCCAAACCAAACTCCAGGTGAATATCTAAATGGCAATGCATTACCCATACACCTATACATTAAATGACATGATGAGTAAAGTATCATAAGCCAACACGTATCTAATAAACATTACGTTACGCAAGTAAAACTTGTTGAGCTTACGTAAGTAAAATTTGTTGAATAGTCTCTATAAATATTATGTTACACAACAAAAATTGTACATGTATACCTGGATTGTTAGCTTGAAATCTAATGACAGCCCATCCGCCAGCTGGAACGGCAACGGTATTACGTTCCTGAGGATTGTACAAGTTAAAATTACTCGAGTCTGAAACGGGATCATAGTTCCCAAAGCCTTGAGCCAAAATGTGGAAATTGTAACCGTGCAAGTGTATAGGGTGACTTTCTACTCCCACCAATGCTGTATTTTGAAGCACTATTTGGACCGTGGAATTGTACGACAACCTCTTCACCTTAGTTGAAACTTTGCTCATAGAAATCGCTATGTTGGCTGGAACACTAAGGTTGGAGAATTGTTGATTCGTATAGTCGAACGTTACCGGCGGCTGGTCGGGAAAATCGTCGGTGTAGATCCCACCAACGCCGTTAAAATGAGCATCCAATATAGACAACTTGGTCGGCAATCGGAAAGATTCGTTGTTCATAGATGCAGTGAGTCTCAAAAGCCCGCCCGGGATAACACAAGAACGGTTACCCGGGTTCGCACAGGGGAGAAGGCCCAATCCAACTGTAACGAACATGTTTTCATCCACCGGGCCGGGGACGGGTCTCCAGAACGGCCCATTAACCAGCCCGGTCAAACTACCGTGGAATCTTTGGGCCGTATCTTTGTCGTCAAAGCCCGGCAAGACAGGCATGGTCGGGGTCGACGACGATTGCGCGCCGACGTAAGTAATGATTCCGGTGGTGGTGGTGTTGTCGAACGGCGGCGGTGGCACCGACTTGGCACTGGCGTAGGCTCTGGCGGCCATGTAGTACGCCCCCGGAGACTGATCGGCGAGCATGAGGACGTCCGTGGTTTGGCCGGGGCCGAGAAGTACGACGTCGGTTTCGTACGGGGTTGTGTAGACGGCGTCGGCGGCGACCACTACCATTTTGTGGTTGGCTATCTTGAAAAATAACTGGTTGTCAAGTGCCCCGTTGATGATGCGTAGTAGATATGTTTTGCCAGAGACCACGTTCATTTTATATGTAGCTGGTACATAATATATATTTTTTAGCTATACCCAATATGTATTTAGAAAAAAAAAAGATTTATAACTATGTTTAGGGATTAAGAATATATTATATATCCATGTACGTATATTATGTGTTTAATTAATATATATGATGCTTACAATCAGAAGAGCATGGGTAAAGATCGCCTGGTTGGCCATTAATGGTGAAGGCATCGGAAATATTTGGTCCTACGCCTGTAAGCTTCCCTTGTTCATCAACATCAATAACGTTGCTATTCCACCACTCCCCTGTCCACAGCAATAGCCATATATTATTCGTTTAATTTAATTTTTTTTATTTATTTCGGGTGATTAGAGAAACTCGTTATCATTACCGGAAGGCATGTATATGTCAGGTAAATTTCACAAATTATAAGAAATAAACCACACTAAGAATTTTTAACAAATTTTACCTAGGAGAATTGTGAATTCATCATCTGGTGTTGTAAATGGATAGGAACGACCAAGTGTAGGATAAATAACGAGAGCACCATAAACAGTGGATCGGAGCATGGAAACATGAGCGTGCCACCATAACGTTCCTTCTTGGCCGGTTATGGTAAACTTGTAGGTGTAACTATTCCCCGGGAGTATTGGACACTGTGTCACATATGCTGGCCCATCTGCCCACCCAGTTAAATACTGAAAAATTCCATGCCTGTTTGGATTAATTAACAATAACATATATCATTATTGCCTCTAAAAAAGTATCATATCATAAATTGTGTAAGTTGTAAAATTTTGCAATTTATAGTAAGTTATAATTAATTAGTAGGACTAAGAAATTAGCAATTGTGTTTGACTTTAGAAATTATTAATTATTACGTAATAAATTATAGTTTTATCATATGAAACTAACAAAAAATACCAGTGAATGGAAAGATTGTAGGGGGAAAGGTTAAAAACATGGACAACAAGGGTGTCTCCTTCTCGGACGGCTATTGTCGGACCGGGAAGACTTCCGTTCACAGCGGTAATCACTTGCTGACTACACAGCCGGTTCACTGTCGTGTTCGTCTCAACCTGTAACATATACATACATGCAACAACATTAGAAAATTAAAGCTAATAAAGGATGCAAACGACCAGGAAACTACAGTTTTGTGTACTAAATAAATCCTGTTTTGTAATATTAAATGGCACAAAACCATAATGAAGTAAAAAAGGTTGCTCATAGTTGATTAACTCAAACAAATAACCCATTAAAGTGGAGAGAATTACGTACGTAAAATGAATGCTCGACGACATCAGCCAAAGCCACCGAGAAAGCAAAACTGAGAAGTAAAACGCATGGAAGTGTTAAGGATGTATGTTGTGCCATTTTTTGTGTGGATAAGATCATTGCAATCCTGAAAACATCCATACACACACACACATATATATATATATATAGTGACAGCAATTCTTAACATGCATATTACTGATTTCATTAATGGGATAGTGGTTGGTAGTATGCAATCAGCAAGACAGCAACGTATCGTTACGTGATTTATTAAGCTAATATAAAAGGATTTCCTTGACAAATTCCATAGCTTTCGGATTATAATGGAAGTCAGACCTTTAATCTCTTAACAAAAAAAAAAAAAAAAAAAAAAAAAGTCACCTGCCCTGGTTAAGCCATGGAAATGATATGGGTGTCAGCAAGTTTGAAATCGGATCGATCTACTCCCTCTACGTATATGATTACATTTCAATTCCTATTTTAAAAATTTGAATGGATTGAAGTGTATATCCCTAGTTTTCCAACACTATATATTACGCATTCAAAACCAAAAACAAAAATAACTAGTAAGTTTGTATGTAGTTTTCTCATTATAGTTTTAACATACTATCATTGTCGTCATACCTACTAGGTTTGGGGAAATCAATTATTTAATTTCTACCATATTTATTTGACCCAAACAGCATTCAAGAGGTAATGCTCAATACATTTTATGAAACAACCACTTGCATGAGCTCCGATCAATTAAAGTGTTTTTTTTTTTTTTTTTTTTTTTTTGTTTTAAATACATTTTATATTGGTGGTATACTGGTATCAGACTATCAGGTATGGCAAATTATGATGTGCATCCGTATGCACCCTGCATGGTGCATACGGATGCAAAAACGCGTCCTACTTTTAAAAAAAAAAAAAATTAGTTTCGATTCCCAGCAACAACATTATGTTATTCATTTTTAGTTCATTCATTTTGGATTTTTTAGTTATAAAATTCTGGAAGTGTATTTATGCAATTCTGAATGTGTAGTTATGAAGTTATGGATGTGTAGTTATGCAATTATGGAATTATAGTTATGCAATTCTGAATGTGTAATTATGAAGTTATGGATGTGTAGTTATGCAATTCTGGAATTATAGTTATGCAATTCTGGAAGTGTAGTTATGCAATTGTGGATGTGTAGTTATGCAATTCTAGAAGTTTAGTTATGCAATTCTGGAAGCGTAGTTATGCAATTCTGGATGTATAGTTATGAAATTATGAATGTGTAGTGAAATTATGGATGTGTAGTTATGGAATTCTGAATTATTTTTATTTTAAAAGTTAGACGCCAAAACGACGTCGTTTTTGCATCCATATGCATCATGCATGGTGCATACGGATGCACAGCATAACGCTCCATCACGTATGGGATGACTAAATGTTCCTAACCCAATTGTTTTCAAGCTCCATAGAGATTTGGGCCATGGTAGCAATATTGGCCCGTTTGAAATATGCACAGTGCTTATGTTTATTATTTTAATATATTATAGGTTCATTTTTACATGCAATACATGCATTAAAAATAAAGTTGCAATATATAAAAAATAATCATATATCAAAATTTAATGAACTTGAAGTATCTAAATCTAGAAGCATAATAAGTCTCAATTGCCCTTAGGATTAAGGTTCAACCTTTTGGAAGAATAATAAGCCTCAATTCAAGTTATATCATAGATTTATGTCCGTTTTTTCTGTTAATTTTTTTTATATATACATTATGCTATAAGAGTTGTACTACACAACTTTTTGGACAAAAATATTATTGCTGTTATAACTTCTGTTATATTTTTTCATTATTATTACCATGCACATCTATACACAATATCTTTTTTTATATTTTTCAATATGGTAATAATGTAGGTTGACATTATATATTGGAGAAATATAAAAAGTAAGCTTGATTTAATTTAGATTTTAATTAAATATATCATAATTATATTTAGAAATTTATTATATTTTACAGGAATGATATTTAGAAATGTATTATTATTATTATTATTATAATAAGTGATACGTATGCGAATTGTTTTACAGGTTTAGAATGGTTTTCATTATTTCTAATTAGATAATTAAATATATAATAATTAAGTAATAAATATGTTTTGGAAAGTAGATATATTTTGTTAATTATAAATAAAAGAATTTTCTAAAAGAATACAAGTCTTAGATATTTTACAAAAAAGGACTCGATTAACATTGATTTTATTCTTTAATGATGTGTCATCTCCTTATTCACCGCCAGTGTATAGCATCTATACACCGGCGGTGCGTCAAATATTAATTTATTGGGGGTGACAAGTGATGTTGATACTATGGTCCATGAAAAATTGATCATTAATTAAAACCTGCCATAATAGCATTTATTGCCAATGGACTGAGATAGAGTTCATTTCTTGAGAAAATATGTCATGGTTTTTACAAATTAATGTTATTGTGATTGATATCATGATCAGGTGTTCTCTAATTGTTTGAGGTCAAGTGGAAGGACAGGGATCATAGCATCAGAGGAAGAGGATGTGCCTGTGGCAGTAGAGGAGAGTTACTCTGGGAATTATATTGTGGTATTTGACCCCCTTGATGGATCATCAAACATTGATGCTGCTGTGTCTACTGGCTCCATCTTTGGCATTTACAGCCCGAATGATGAGTGCCTGGCGGATATTGGTGATGATGCTGAGGTACTATATGCATAATAATCTTTAAAACACTCACAAAGTTTGTGTTCTTTCCTTGCTAATCCATATGTAAATACAACATTATAGTCTAATGAAATTCGAGAAATCAAAGGTTTAGTGGTTGTTTACTTGTTTATGATAAAAAATGCAGCTTGACCAAGGGAAACAGAAATGTGTAGTGAGTGTGTGCCAGCCAGGGGATAACCTCCTCGCAGCAGGCTATTGCATGTACTCGAGCTCTGTGATCTTCGTTCTCACCTTGGGAAAAGGCGTTTTCGCCTTCACCTTGGACCCTATGTATGGCGAATTCGTTCTTACCCAAGAAAACATTCAGATCCCAAAGGCGGGAAAGATATACGCGTTTAATGAAGGGAACTACCAGCTATGGGATGATAAGTTGAAGAAGTACATTGATGACCTTAAGGACCCTGGTCCTAGTGGCAAGCCTTATTCTGCTAGGTACATTGGCAGTTTGGTGGGAGACTTCCATAGGACTCTTTTGTATGGAGGCATTTATGGGTACCCAAGAGACAAGAAGAGCAAGAACGGGAAGCTAAGGCTTCTGTACGAGTGTGCCCCGATGAGCTTCATCGTGGAGCAAGCCGGTGGGAAAGGATCAGATGGCCATAAAAGAATTCTTGATATCACACCAGTTGAGGTGAATATAATGAATGGATGGCTCTCTGCAAAAATTATGACTCTTAGCTTATATTTGGTGATATATATAAACTGAATCTGTGATTTGTATTTGCAGATACACCAGCGAGTTCCTCTATACATTGGAAGTGTGGAGGAAGTTGATAAGTTGGAGAAGTACCTAGCTTAATCCAAGAATGAAATGCAGAGATGAGTACATTGAAGCCATGGTGTTGTTTTGGACCACTCTCAGATGTATATCAGAATCTACAACTTAAAATGCATTGTAAACACTTGAAAATAAAATATTATTCTTTTGATCTTTTCTGAGTCAGGCAAAATGATTGTAGATGTTCTATAAGTGCTGCAGTTCTTTTTTTTGAAAGGAGCCGTCATGGCATTTATTCAAAATACTGCGAAATAGTGTGAGGCGGAACAGAGTCCCAATACATAATAGCAGGTTGACTAGAAGTAGATAAAGCTAAAGTATGAGCTAAATAATTCTCTGATCTAGGAATGTAAATAACCGAACAATAATTAAACGTAACGATACCTGCCCTGCAGGCATCTATGGCATAGCCAATATACAACCGAAGAGAGGTCGCTGAGTGTGAGAGGTATTGTTGTAAAGTCAAACAATCCGTGAATAATTGTATAGAGTGATCTCCACGAGTCCATAACTATGATAGGGCTTCCTTACATGCGTGCGCTTCGGCCATAAGTGGGGACTGACAATATGGCAAACGTATACGGAAGGCCGAGACATATTCTCCTTCCCCAGTTAACAACACAGCTCCAGCAGTGGCTGCTCCCGTGTGATGCGAAAAGCTGGTATCGAAATAACATTTTAATGGCGCATGAACTTCCTGTGATGGCAGTGTACTTTCGGTCATGTCTGATTGGTGCGGTACGCTCGGCAAAGCAGGCTGTTGCAGCGGCATGGGAGTCCGAGCGGGATGTGCTTGCTCCCATGCATGTACTCCGGCAGCGGCTGCGGCAATCACTCTTCACGGACGTGGTAGGCATGCATCCTACACCGCTCCATTTCTGGTTCTCCAAATGTAATATAGGATTGCAGCTGCGTGGATAATTTGGTTAGTGTCTAAAATATTTAATAGTTCACTAAACCAACTATAGAAAATATTTGTGATGTTGATGGGGATTGGAAGGTGAGATTGGCTCCAAATGGACTTAGTATAATTACACAATACCAAAGCATGCATTGTGTCCTCTCTTTATAATCAGATTTGCCGTAGTGGGAAGAATATCATTCAATGCTCTCCATAAGAAAGTTTTCCATTTGGGAGGTATTTTAAGTCTCTATAGGCCTAGCCAATTATCAAAATTGCTTGGTGATATTAGTATTTTTAAGATCCGGGGTATATCAATGGGGTCAAAAATATCTCTGTCAATATATCCGGATCCAAGTATGTAAATAGTTGATTTTTTTTTTAAATAAAAAAAGCAAAAACAAACAAAAAAAATAGGATGCCACCCGAGCTAATATATAAAAAAACATGCTTACCAAAACATATTTATTATCCCATGTCAGCCTCACCAAAGATCAGTTATGAGTTAGTTATAACCGTCTTATTCCTTATGTACTTAAACGCTTCTGTAATCTTGGTTAGTCAACAAGTCAAATAATATTGTTTCCATACACAGCCAAAGCTTTGCTCTTCTTTTTCTCTTTCACGTCTTTCCGTCACCGCTTACTTAATATATAAAAAAAATGCTAGGGTTTTAATCTTTACCCTCATTCATTTCAGCCGCTCTCCCTCTCATCCTCTCAACCTCTCGCCTCTCACCCTTTCAACTTTCAACTCTCACCCTCTGCATCTTGCCTCTCTCACTCTCTGCAAGCTTCGCATCCTCTTTACTCTTTAGTCATTAAAAAAATCTTTAATCTCTCAGATTGTTTTGGGTCTACATGAACGATTCTTGGGTGATTTGTTGTGATATAAGATTTTCTTTGGTCTACATAACCATTCTTTATTTTTTTTTTTTGGGTAATTTGAGGAAAGGTAACCTTTATCTGTTTATTATTATTATTTGCAATATTTGAAGAGTTTGAACATTGAATATTTTTTTTGGTAATATTTAGTTTAGCATGTCTTACTGATTTTCTAAAATTTAGAAAGTTTTTTTTTTATGTATTATTATTTTTCAGGATGAGAAGAGTTTACTGCACTTACTAATTAATATACATAGACATATATATTTGAAATATTGTTTACTGTTTTACTGTCTAATATTTAAAGAATTACTACAAATAAATTTTAAATGTTTACTTTATTAAAAGTATTTTTATGTTATTTGTACAGTTAGGCATTTTATATGGTTATTCAGTATCAATGTTTTGAATAATCATATCTTTTTGCTCCAGAATGGGGCCCAGGATGGAGAACATAGGGAGGTCCATAAAGCTGATTCAGAGGCAGAGGCATTTTGAGATTACATGTATGTGGTGCTGGCACCCTATACATGCTCATTCTTTGAAAGAGTTGAATATTCAACTGGATAGGTGTCGCCGTCTTCATGGGAACCCTCGTCATCCTGCTGATCGTCCTGGCCAATCCCCTGCTGACGTGCCCAACCCCTGTGCTGAGGCTGCTGAGGTGGAGAGGATCATCAATTGTAAATTCTAATAGAGCATAGAGCAGGAATGTCATTTGCTGAGGTTGCTGAGGTGGCTGAGATAAAATGGCTTCTAAATTCTAATAGAGCATAGAGCATACAGCAGGAATGTCAATTTGCTGAGGTTGCTGAGGTGGCTGAGATAAAATGGCTTGTAAATTCTAATAGAGCATAGAGCATAGAGCAGGAATGCCTGATGGCTTGTAATAGAGATCCATTTTAACTAAGATTCATTGGACGAGAAATGCATATATAGCAACTTACTAAAAAAAACAATGTTTGGTACCCATTTGGATTGATTTAAATTGAGTAGTTATTCAATGGGCTCTAGCAGGACTGGTGTTTAGAACTGTAGTTGATCTATTTCGTCCTGTTAATACCTATGATATCAAATGTTTTATTTGACATTGTTTGGTATATTTATAATCCCATGTCATGTATAAAGGAATGATATCTAGATTCCTTCTTGTTGTGTATGAGGAATGAAGTTTCAGTCACTTACACTTGGCATATCAAATAAACCTATGGTGGCTATGCAGCTAGAAGGCTGATAAGATATTGTTGAATTTCTAGGGAATAGGTATTAGCAATTTTTAGCAGAGAGGGAGTAGTATAGGTGCTTAACTTTTCCTTTGTTGTGTACTCAAATGGTGAAACTTATCTTTAGTAACTCTATACATGATCAAATAGTGATAAACAACAATAAATGCATATAGTTTTATGCCAAAATTATTCCTCGGTCTCCTTGGCTTTTGAATGATTCCTAAATTGCACTGGAGCCACCTGAATTGGTTTCTATCATTACAGATATTGAATGAGTTTTCCTTGTTACATCATACCCTAATGCCCAGCAAGGAATTTAACTTTAGTCGAAGGTTGGTGGGAAAAGTTCCAAGTACCATATATCACTAGTTGAAATTGTAAGGACTAATAGAGGGTGCTGTTCATATCTTCATACTGTTTCTTCAGTGTCCATGCAATTTGTGTTTATCTTATCAATTTATGTTGAACTCACCTTTTGTATGTGCTTTTACAGATTAAAGTTAGTTTGACCTTATCCTTTATTTGCAGGTTGCAAAATGGGAACGTTTGTATGAGACTACTCTTCGTGTGGTTGAAGATATCCGATTTGTTATGAGTCATTGTGTTGTGCCGAGATATGTGAGTGGTGATAGGCGAGATATACTACGAACATGGATGAGACTGTTGTCTTTTGTGCAAGGAATGAACCCCCAGAAGAGAGAAATTGGAATTCATGTGGAAGTAGAAAATGAAAATATGCATTTACCCTTTGTGTTGGGTCATTCAATTGCAAACATTCATTCTCTATTAGTGGGTGGTGCAGATGAGACTGAAGAGGATGATTTGGTGAACTCATGTATACCAGATTTTGAAGAGCAAGATAGGCAGAGGCATGCAAAAGTTGGACGGTTATCACAGGAAAGCTCTGTTAGTAGTGTGACAATTCAAATAGCTCCACATGGATTCTCTGCTTTTGTTATGGAGCATCCTCTTCGGATTAGGGTGTTCTGTGCTCAGGTGCATCCTGGAATGTGGCGTAAGAATGGTGATGCTGCCATATTATCCTATGAATGGTATCGTTCAGTTCGATGGTATGTGAGTTCTTTATTTGATACTTAATATGTTTGCATGCATGAAGAATTAGATATAATTTCTCTTGGATTGTTCATATGAGGATTACTTACATAGCCTTATTGCTTTCCTTGCTTCTGATTTTGCAGGATCTCTTTATGCTTCAGTGCTGTGCTGCCCTGGCTCCCGCTGATCTTTTTGTCAAGAGAGTCTTGGAACGTTTTGAGTTATCAAATTACCTTTTATTAAATTTTGATCAGTCTAGTGAGTACGTAATACATTTCTTCTCTTCTGTTTCTTAATTATGCATTTGTTAATTGTTTTTCCTTAGCCTAGTCTAAATGTCATGTTCACTTTTCTATCACTGAAATTTCTCCAGCAATATATAACTACTTAGCCTGCATCTAAGATGTGTTTCTGTTGGGAGTTTGTAATGTTTTTATTTGTTTTATATAATATCTGATGTACACTCCTTTCCCTTTGGCAATTAATACATATCTCTAACGAAGTTAGGTCTGTCTCTTAATGTATCCCAACCTTCTACTCTATTTTCCCTCTCAACTTTAGTTGCTTTTGATATAAAACTAGTTGAGAATGTGTCTGCAGAATGTATCTGATCATCCAGACTGACTGAAATGGAAGTCATGAAGGAATTTGAAAATTTATTGTACAGGTCCACATATGTGATGTCTTTCCTAGGTATCTTGTGTGAATTAGTTTAGAGATGTACCTTCAAGGGTTCAGATTTACATACTTGGTGATACTCTGATGAAGCTGTAGTGTATAGGAGAGGCGTGGCAGAGTATCAGTGGATTGTTGAAATGAGAATTTCTGAAAATGTCTAATTGTCTATGTAACTATTAGAAGTGGTGTCACGGGGACACGGGGTATTTGTGTGTACATTAGACTAAAGATGCTCTTTGAGCATTTGCAGTTAAAATTCTTTACTTCAATGAAGAATGAGCATTTATGCTGAAAATGTGGGGTAAGTTATATATGTATTTAGATTCTTACGGGAGGGAATTAGGTGGAAAAGAATTGCAATTCCATGGGAGAGGAATAATGTGGTAATAAAGTGGTAATTTAAATTCCAGTGTTTGGTTTGCAGGAATAGAGTTACTAGGAATTTCAATTCCAATGTTTGGTATACATGGGAATTGAAAGGAAATAAGTAGTATAAAGTCCAAAATGCCCATACTTATTAATATTAATATTACTAATAATAATGATAATGATAATAATAATAATAATAATAATAATAATCGAAAGAGAGATGTCAAACATTAATTTTAGGTTAAAAAAAAGGGGGTAATTTTGTCTCAAAGTTATTTTTTTTCTTCCTAAAATCTATTGAATTGAAATACCAAGGGGGGCATGGGATTCTAATTCCTTGGAATGCGGAATTAAAATTCCCTCCAACCAAACGAATGAATTTGCTTGCCCTCGGAATTATGTGGGAATTAGGTAGGAATGAAATTGTAATCCCTTCCAACCAAACGGCCCTGTTATGGGCTAAAAGAGCTAGCTGGAGGACAATATGTGGATTTCGTGTTGACACACACACACATTATACCATTTCTTTAGGTTAATTTATTGTTCTTATAGTGGATGTCTTAGCTCCTGCTTTGATTCTAATCGTTCTATATATGCTGTATATTTTAGTCTGTCAACAACAAATTCCAAATTTCATGTTTTGCCTGAATTCCAAGTTTCAGGTTTTGGCTGTTCGTTCACAACTAGGACAATCTAGAAGGCATTAGAAGTTTTTATTCTTAACCTATGATATAGTCATTTCATTTGATCAGGCACCATTGGTCTGTGACCAGTTCTACTTCTCATCTACTAACTTCTTTTCATTCATTGTTATTGTCGTTGTTGCTACTACTACAGTACTACTACTATTAGTAGGATAATGTTATGAATTTCGTATTGTTTTGATAATAATTTTCAGGTATGAATCAACTTTGGTGCAAGAAATGCCGATTCTTATTATACAAATGCTGATTCTTATTATGTCCACTGTCGCAAAAACAGTTGTTTCTTCTCCCAGGAGCAATATCTCAAGCAGTTGAGATAATTCCATTAATTCAAGATGCAGTCAATGCTTTTGGTTCAGAAGGGCAACCTAGAGAAGTAGAAAGGTTTATGGAATTTATCAAGTCCCATTTTCCCTCTGTGAAGAACATTCAACTTCCTTGCACACCAAACATTGCAGTGGAGAAAATGGAAACTTCAATTCTCTCTTCCAGTCATTTGATGAGTACATGTACTCATTGATTCAGGAAAGAATGCACCACGTTTAGAAGTTATATGGAGCAAGAGAAAACCTCCATCTGAACAGGACAGTGTGGTCTGCAAGGGAAATACATTGCTGCTCTTGCTAGAGAAACACCGGATAATCCTTCTGGATCAGGAAATGAATATAAGTCAGTCAGTGTCGGAGCCTAGGAAGCAGGTTACTGCATATGATGGTTTTGGTCCCTCAGATCATCCTGTGGGCATGCATGCAGTGCATCAAGGGTGTCTAGATCGCTATTTACAATCACTTAAAGAAAAGAAAGGTAAATTTCCTCATCAAGGAATGCATTGGAACTTTACGTTTACCATTTTTTCTCCATCTCCTAAAAATATTTTTTTCACTGCTATACAGTCAGATATACAAGAAGAATTGTTTTTGAAGGTGGTCATATAGTTGATCTGGATCAGGTACAGACTTCTCTTCAGACTGTTACTTTGTTTAAACTTAATGATTTAACATCCCGTGTGGTATCAGGGAGAGTTCCTCTGTCCTGTTTGTCGTGGGCTTGCAAATTCAGTCCTTACGAGACTGCCCAAAGATGTAAAAATAGCACCACCACTTGATTCATATTAGATTCCAATGGCTGTTTAGCCTCATCGAATAGAGTAGCAACTGCACTGCATGTTAAGGAAGCCCTGTCCCTCCTGCAAAGTGTGGCTGATATTGCTGAGAGCTCTGCTCTTCCAATGCAAGAATATGGAAGGTCAAGATCAAATCTTGAATCTGTTTCCAGTGTACTTTCATTAATTTTGTATGACACACTTAAGTACTCCCTCATGTCAACACAAGTTGCTGCTCGATCCAGAAAGACTTCATTGGCATCAAACTGCACCCTTGGTTCGCTGTATAAACAACTCAAGTCTTCAAATGGTTTTATATTGTCTTTGCTGCTTAGTACTGTAAATAGGACAAGAACAAAGAACTCACTTGATGTCCTTATAAGATTAAGAGGCATCCAGCTTTTAGCAGTATCTATATGCTCAAGCATTTTTATAGGTGAAAACCCAAGCAATAGATGCAGTGGTATGGCTCCTGTGCTGGTTACTCTTAATTGTTTTTCAAATTCATCCTGTTGTTTATGAGCGATTTGCTAAAATAAGTTTTGGTGATATGCTTTACAGGTAATATGCAAGAAATCTTGAAACTTCCTGATCGATGTGCAGTTTTGGAACCGAGTTTCTGATCCTATTCTTGCCCATCATGCTTTTTCATCACTAATGTGGATAATTTATTGTCTTCCTTGTCCTTTTCTTTCATGCGAGGAGACCTTTTTGTCTCTTGTTCATCTCTTTTATGCCATAACCATAATTCAGGTTTGAAATTTTCATTTATCTGAACTTTGATAACTAAGTCTAGATTTGAACCTTATATCAATGTTAATATTTTCTTTTGGTTGCAGGGGATAGCAACATACTGCAAAAAGCAAGAATGCAATTTGAGTGAATTAGAGCATTATGATGGTCTGGTTATAGATGTCTACAAAGTTATGGGAGACTTTAGAGCTACTGGTGGTTA